AGCTGCCAACGGGAACACGGATTCCCTGCACCTCCTGATAGACAGCGGGGAGCGGGCGGACATCACCGACGTCATGGACATCCACGGCCAGTGAGTCTGTCCGGGCGTTTCTCTTGGGATCCGTGTGGCACAGGGTCCTTGCAGGGTGGCTGGGGCAGGGGGCAGAGGGCGGTACTGGCACCCAGCTGATTTCTGAGCCCGCTCTCCCCCTCTGCAGAACCCCACTGATGCTGGCGATCATGAATGGCCACGTTGACTGTGTCCACCTGCTGCTGGAGAAGGGATCCACCGCCGATGCGGCAGACAAGAGGGGAAGGACAGCCCTGCACCGAGGGGTGAGTGCGTCCCTGGGACCGGGGCGGGCCTGGAGCCCTGCGCCTTCTGCTGGTCCTCCCGTGCGGAGGCTGCTCGGGGGGCAAGAGTCCCCAGTGAAAGAGCCGGTTCTCCCTTCCTGCGATGCAGCGTTTGAGAGGAAGCTGGGGAAGAAGGGGGTGGTTCTGTCGGTCAGCGGTTGAAGGGTGGGGTCTGACCTCCTGGTCGTCTTTCCTGGCCGCAGGCTGTGACGGGCTGTGAGGACTGCCTGGCCGCCCTGCTGGACCACGATGCCTTCGTTCTGTGTCGGGATTTCAAAGGCCGGACCCCGATCCACTTTGCGTCGGCGTGCGGGCACTTAGAAATCCTGAGGACCCTGCTGCAGGCAGCCCTCTCTACCGACCCTCTGGACTCCGTGGTGGACTACAGCGGTTACTCACCGATGCACTGGGCTTCATACAGTGGTAAGGACCTGGGCTGGGCCCCTGCCCGCCTCTGCTCTGCTCCGGCGGTCGATGGGGAGGAGGGAGTGAGGAAGAGACAGGTTGTCCCTCTGTCCTGCACTGCTTCGGGAGGCATCGGCCCAGCAGTGACGTCAGGCTGGTGGAAAGGGCGGCACAAGCCTGAGAGGGAGGCAGGGAGTTTTTCTGCCCCTGCCAAGCCCCTTAAAGAAGGGCTGAAATACGAAAACAGCTGTTCTAGAGCAGCTGAGGCTGCTTCCTCCAGGACTGCCGGGTTTGTAGGAGTACTTGGCCGTCACCCTGGCTGCAGGCAGTGGTGGGACGGATAGGGCAGCAGGAAGGGGTGTCTCAGCGTTTCGAGTGGCTGCGCAGTCATTCAGAAGGCGGTGTGGATTTAGAAACCTGAAGTGCAGCAGTTTTGCTGCCAGAGAGGAAACAAAACCACTGCCTCTGTGCTGGGGAACGGGTTGCTTTGGGCACTTTGGTGCCGCTGGTCTTGTGCGGCCTCTGGAGCCTCCGGCTCTTTGGACGTGGGGGAGCCCGGGCGGCCTTCGGTCCCTTCTTGCTCGTTGCAGGCGAGGAATCGCGGGCTGGGCACCGATGTGTTTCTGTCCCTCTCCCCTCACAGGGCATGAAGATTGTCTTGAATTGTTACTTGAACACAATCCGTTTGCGTACCTAGAAGGAAACCCCTTTACTCCATTGCACTGTGCAGTGTAAGTGGCGTCTGGGACCTGCCCCGGGTCCTCCCCAGCCGGGCGGTGCGGGAGAGGGGGTACGTGGTCTGAGCGGGGCAGCTCCCAACCTGCCCTTCTCGCCGAGGGCTCTTCCCTGGGCGGCGGCAGCTCCTCGGGGTGGAACCACCTCTCGTCCCGGCTCCC